AGCTGGTCTTTAAAATGCATCACTCAGCATTTTAAAAATTAAAAGTGAGCAGCTACATATACAGGTGAAACTCGAAAAATTAGAATATCGTGCAAAAGTTCATTTATTTCAGTAATGCAACTTAAAAGGTGAAACTAATATATGATATAGATTCATTACATGCAAAGCAAGATAGTTCAAGCCGTGATTTGTCATCATTGTGATGATTATGGCTTACAGCTCATGAAAACCCCAAATCCACAATCCCTGAAAATGAGAATATTACATGCAATCAATAAAACAAGGATTGTACATAGAACAATATCAGACCTCTGAAAAGTATAAGCATGCATATGTACTCAGTACTTGGTTTGGGACCCTTTTGCAGCAATTACTGCCTCAATAGCAGTAATGCGGCGTGGCATGGAAGCTATCAGCCTGTGGCACTGCTGAGGTGTTATGGAAGACCAGGATGCTTCAATAGCGGCCTTCAGCTCTTCTGCATTGTTCAGTCTCATGTCTCTCATCTTTGTCTTGGCAATGCCCCATAGATTCTCTATGGGGTTCAGGTCAGGCGAGTTTGCTGGCCAATCAAGCACAGTAATCCCACTGTCATTGAACCAGGTTTTGGTGCTTTTGGCAGTGTGGGCAGGTGCCAAGTCCTGCTGGAAAATGAAGTCGGCATCCCCATAAAACTTGTCTGCAGAAGGAAGCATGAAGTGCTCCAAAATCTCCTGGTAGACGGCTGCGTTGACCCTGGACTTAATGAAGCACAGTGGACCAACACCAGCAGATGACATGGCTCCCCAAATCAACACAGACTGAAAACCTCACACTGGACTTCAAGCATCTTGCAGTGTGTGCCTCTCCATTCTTCCTCCATACTCTGGGTCCTTGGTTTCCAAATGAGATGCAAAAGTTGCTCTCATCAGAAAAGAGGACTCTGGACCACTGAGCAACAGACCAGGTTAATTTTTCTATAGCTCAGGTAAGACGCTTCTGGCTTTGTTTGTTGTTCAGGAGCGGCTTGACAAGAGGAATACGACATTTGAAGCCCATGTGCAGGCTGCGTCTGTGTGGTGGCTCTTGATGCACTGACTCCAGCCTTAGTCCACTCCTTGTGAAAGTCCCCAACACTTTTGAATGACCTTTTATTGACAATCCTCTCCAGGCTGTGGTCATCCCTGCTGCTTGTGCACCTTTTTCTTCCACACTTTTCCTTTCAACATAACGTTCTATTAATGTGCTTTGATACAGCACTTTGGGAACATCCAACTTCTTTTGCTATGACCTTTTGAGGCTTTCCCTCCTTATGGAGGGTGTCAATGATGGTTTTCTGCACAACTGTCAGGTCAGCAGTCTTTCCCATGATTGTGATTCCTACTGAACCAGACTGAGAGACCATTTAAAGGCTCAGGAACCCTTTGCAGGTGTTATGGCTTAATTAGCTGATTAGAGTGGGACACTTTGAGCCGAGAATATTGCACCTTTTTACAATATTCTAATTTTCTGAGATTGTGGATTTTGGGTTTTCATGAGCTGTAAGCCATAATCATCACAATTATGACAAATCACGGCTTGAACTATCTTGCTTTGCATGTAATGAGTCTATCTCATATATTAGTTTCACCTTTTAAATTGCATTACTGAAATAAATTAACTTTTGCACGATATTCTGATTTTTTTGAGTTTCGCCTATAGTATAGTTGGTAACTTTTAACCACTTGCCCTCCGGAAGATTTACTGCCCTTCATGACCAGGCCATTTTTTGCTATTTGGCACTGCGTTACTTTAACAGATAATTGCGTGGTCATGCAACACTGTACCCAAATGAAATTTATATAATATTTGCACACAAATAGAGCTTTCTTTTCTTGTTTTTTTTTGTGATATAAATGAAAAAAGTACATAGTGAAAAGTATACCTTTTCTATTCTAGTGTCACCAATACAAGTGAAGGGAGGTACGCTGCTCAACTGACCCCAGGAGTCCAATGTAGAGGAATGGCCTCAGTCGCAGTACTGTCCATGCCCCTGGCGGGTTCCACCCCGATGGGGGAGCCAAATGTGTCAGAGGGCATGGACAGTATGGCAGCTGAGGCCATTCCTCTACATTGGACTCCTGGGGTCAGTTGAACAACATCCATTCCTTCACTTATAAATGAAAAAAGACCGAAAATATATATATTTATAAAGAATTTTTTACTTTGTGCTATAAAATATATCCAATTAAAATAAACAAATACATAAATAAATAAATAAGGCCAACATGTATTCTGTTACATATTTTTGGTAAAAAAAAAGACCCCAATAAGTGTATTTAAAAAATATATAAAGGAATGCGCTAAATACCAAATCACATGAAAATGCAGATTAATACATAAATAAAATAAAAAATATATTTATAAATGTCCGTAATTCATATATAAGTTCAAACACCAAAATAAGTGATTAAAAAATCTCTTAAACAAGAAAAAGCACCGTGTAGCAAAATCCACCACCGAATGAAATGGTAAACTCACCAGAGCTATTTGCTGATCGAATTATAAATCAACAAAAATAGCAATTGCTCTGGGAGCGATGTTCTGTTGGAGTATCCAGGAGCAATAGTCTGCAATCAGCCAAATCAGCACACAGCTTTAACTGCAAGTGGTCATCATGCCTTCATAACTTTGGAAATGCTCGGGGAATCAAAGAAGAGTATCATGGTGCAGTATATTAAAACAAGGATAATTTTTATTGTAGCCTAAAATATGCACTCACACGAAAGGTGTCCAACCGACACCAGCAATAACAGCAATATCAGTCTCAAAAAGCTAAAGCAGGGATGAGCTTCGCTCACCGCGATCACAGCCGACAGTCTCGAGGAGTGTCCTGATGTCCCATCCACGAACCCCTCTCTACACGTTTCATCATCCGACGTCTTCAAGGGGCGGCATGGATGACAGACATCGAATACCAACATATATACACACTAAATCTGCATTGCAGCAACGCCACCAGTCCGGCTGTATTGGGCCCAGGCCAACAGGGGGGCCCAGGCAGCTGGGTGAATCAGATGTGGGCAGGTAGGGTGATCAGAACAGTGGGGGAACAATTACTGGAACTGGTCCCCTTTATGGGTCTCTCTGTAGCATCTGAAAGCTGGATTCTTCTCCAGAAATTGCCCCTCCCCCTTTGCCCATCATGCTGATCCCCCTCCCTGTGTAAATCTGATTCATCCAGCTGCCTGGGCCCCCACAGTGCCGGCTTCCTACCAGCAGCTGCAAGCACACAATAGGATCCTTCATAATGGAGAGTGGGGAAAGGGTCCGATAATTATGTCACATTAACCAGCCCATTCCTTTCCTAAATGAACACAATGAGTGAGAAGTACTGATCACTCACTGTGTTCATTCATAACTGAAACATAGTAAACATAGTAAACTGTGGGTTTTTTTGTTTTTTGTTTTTTTTTAAGGGGCCCTGTCAAATTGGCTGTATGGGGCCCCATGGTTTCTAACAGCAGCCCTGTGTGTGTCTCATGAGGTTGGCGTGGGGAGGGGGGCAGAATAAGACAATGTCATCTTTGCCTAGAGAAGGATTGAGGAAACGGGAGCAGGTACCAGCAAAAAAAGGTTTTGGCTCCCCCACTTCCCCTCGAAAAACCCAAACTCAATTGCAGGCTGGGGAGGGAGGAAGAGAATGAGCAGTATCAGGGGCGGACTGACCATTTGGAAACTCAGGCACTGCCCGAGGGCCCGAGGTCAGTAGGGGGCCCCATGAGATGCTCCTGGTACCTTTTTCATAGGCTTTTTTGAGTTTGGGCAAGAACACAACAGGGGCCCCATGATCCCCTATTGCCCGGGGGCCCCATGAGTTGTCAGTCCGCCCCTGAGCAGTACTTCAGATTTTGAGTGAAGTTCCACTTTAAATACACCAAGTAAAAAGCAGCAAATCACAGCATATCATCTCCACTAAAAGGACGGACAAGGTAGCTATCAATGAAAAACCATTTTCATAGATAAGAAAACTATTTTTGCCTTCAAAAACAGTTCTCTGGCTTTCCAGTCCTTGTTCTTGTTACGCTTCTGTCTTTTCACATGTCTGAAATATTAAAGTTGAGCAAGGTAATGAGTCACTTTGTATCTCTCGCAGGGAAAGAATAGCAAATGACATTCTGAATATGCTTCTCCTAAAAGTACAGTATGTATAATTCCCTAATAAAAGCAACAAGCCAGGTTCTGACCAGGAACTGAGCTACGGAGAAGAAAGCTCAATGGGAGAGGTTGTCAAGGGATGGGAAAAATAGACCATTTATTAAGTCTGTGATAGTTAATCTCTCAGAATAATAAGGAGATGAAAAATATGTAACAAGATAGAAAGCTGGAAAGTTAGGTGATCTTTTGATGCACAAATTCAAACTAGTAATTGAGGCAAAGTCCATGGATGACCGTGGATCTATACCAGTGGGGGTCAACTTGGGGCTACCGACATCACCAAACCATACAATAGTCATTATCAGAGACAGCAGACATACAACAGGATATAATCAAAGACTATGGACAGGATACAAGAGATGGTCAGACACTGCAGACATAATACAAGAAATGGGCAGAGACTGTGGACATGATACAGGAGATGGTCAGAGACTGCAGACATGGTACAGGAGATGGTCAGAGACTGCAGACATGATACAGGAGATGGTCAGAGACTGCAGACATAATACAAGAAATGGGCAGAGACTACGGACATGATACAGGAGATGGTCAGAGACTGCAGACACGGTATAGGAGATGGTCAGAGACTGCAGACACGATACAGGAGATGGTTAAAGACTGCAGACATGATACAGGGGGCGGTCAGAGACTGCAGACATGGTACAGAAGATGGCCAAAGACTGCAGACATGATACAGGAGATGGTCAGAGACTGCAAACATGATACAGGAGATGGTCAGAGACTGCAGACATAATACAAGAAATGGTCAGAGACTGTGGACATGATACAGGAGATAGTCAGAGACTGCAGTCATAGTACAGGAGATGGTCAGAGACTGCAGACACGATACAGGAGATGGTCAGAGACTGCAGACACGATACAGGAGATGGTCAGAGACTGCAGACATGATACAGGAGATGGTCAGAGACTGCAGACACGATACAGGAGATGGTTAGAGACTGCAGACATGATACAGGAGATGGTCAGAGACTGCAGACATGATACAGGAGATGGTCAGAGACTGCAGACATGATACAGGAGATGGTCAGAGACTGCAGACATGATCAGGGGTGGACTGACAACTCATGGGGCGGACTGACAATTCATGGGGCCACCGGGCAATAGGGGATCATGGGGCCCCTGTGTCCTTGCCCAAACTAAAAAAAAAACTATCAAAAAGGTACCAGGGGCATCTCATGGGGCCCCCTACTGACCCCGGGCTCTCGGGCAGTGCCCGAGTTTCCAAATGGTCAGTCCACCCCTGCATGATACAGGGGATGGTCAGAGACTGCAGACATGATACAGGGGATGGTCAGAGACTGCAGACATGGTACAGAAGATGGTCAAAGACTGCAAATATGATACAGGAGATGGTCAGAGACTGCAGACATGATACAGGGGATGGTCAGAGACTGAAGACATGATACAGTGGATGGTCAGAGTCTGCAGACATGATAAAGGGGATGGTCAGAGACTGCCGATATGATACAGGGGATGGTCAGAGTCTGCAGACATGATACAGGGGGATGGTCAGAGATTGCAGACTTATTACAGAAGTTGGTCAGAGACTGCAGACATGATACAGGAGATGATCAGAGACTGCAGACATGATACAGGAGATGGTCAGAGACTGCACACATAATACAGGGGATGGTCAGAGACTGAAGACGTGATACAGGGGATGGTCAGAGACTGCAGATATATTACAGGAGTTGGTCAGAGACTGCATACATGATACAGAAGATGGTCAGAGACTGCATACATGGTACAGGAGATGGTCAGAGACTGCAGACATAATACAGCAGATAGTCAGAGACTGCAGGCATGATACAGGGATGATCAGAGACACAAATGTGCAGATGTGATACAGGAGATGAAAGTTAAGACTCCCCTTTTTCTGACCTGATTTGAGGGCCAGTTCTTACTGGAATGTGTGCGGTGCAGTTTTGACAGCCCATTCAAATGGGCTGCAACATGCACAGAAATGTGGAAAAAGTAGTGCAAGCACTACTTTTTCAGAATGCATCGCACCAAACCACATGGTACTGAGGTACTAAGCGATTTGATGCCCACAAACGGTCTGTGTTTGTGAGATGCATTTGGGATACCATTATCAATTCATTGGCATCCACATGCAGATCTCAAGGGCAGCACATTTACCTGCGGTGTTGGGAATGCACAAGGAATGCTCCGTACCCTCACAGTTTTAATGTGAACAGTTCCTGACCCCCCAAAACTAAAATATTAATATCAAAGAAATACATTGGAATTTGAAAGATCCCTGTGACAATAAGGATTATTTCTTGCAGAACGAAAAAAAAAAATTGTTTCAGATTGATTTGTTAAGTTACTAATTTGATTTTGTTGCATTCATAACAAAATGTATTTAGTTTAGTTTACTTTATTTGTTTTTGACCGGATTTGAATTTTTCCAATGGATTTGAAGTATTCAAATCAAATTAAGTGCCGGTTCACATACACTATATTGCCAAAAATATGGGCCAGCCCTCCAAATCACTGGACTCAGGACTCAGTCACCTCTATGGCCACAGGTGTATAAAATCAAGCTTTTAGGCATGCAGACTGCTTCTACAAACATTTGTGAAAGAATGGGTCGCTCTCAGGAGCTCAGTGAATTCCAGCGTGGTACCGTGATAGGTTGTCACCTGTGCAATAAGTCCATCCGTGACATATACTTGTTACTAAATATTATGACGAATCATGCTTCTCTGTCTGGCAATCCGATGGACGTGTCTGGGTTTCTGCCAGGAGAACAGTACTTGCCTGACTGCATTGTTCCAAGTGTAAAGTTATGTGGAAGGGAATTATGGTGTGGGGGGTTGTTTTTCAGGGGTTGAACTTGACCCCCTAGTTCCAGTGAAGGGAACTCTTAAGGCGTCAGCATACCAAGACATTTTGGACAATTTCATGCTCCCAACTTTGTGGGAAGAGTTTGGGGATGGCCCCTTCCTGTTCCAACATGACTGCTCACCAGTGCAGAAAGTGAGGCATAGAGACATGGATGAGCAAGTTTGGGGTGGAGGAACTTGACTGGCCTGCACAGAGTCCTGACCTCAACCCCATAGAACACCTTTGGGATGAATTAGAGTGGAGACTGCGATCCAGGCCTTCACATCCAACATCAATGCCTGACCTCACTAATGTGCTTCTGGAAGAATGGTCAAACCTTCCCATAGATACACTCCTAAACCTTGTGGACGGCCTTCCCAGAAGAGTTGAAGCTGTTATAGCTGAAAAGGGCGGGGCTAACTCAATATTGAACCCTATGGACTAAGACTGGGATGCCATTAAAGTTCATGTGCGTGTAAAGGCAGGCAGACCAATGCTTTTGGCAATACAGTGTATCTGCGGATTGGATGCAGTTTGAACTGCATCCAATCTCCATGACTTGTGAAAAATTTTGCTTCCAATGGTACCTGTTCACATATGTCCGGTGCACTGGCGGTGCGGCTTGAAAAAGAGTCATGTACGATTTCTGAGCAGTGCGCCTGGGTTGAGGTGCAGATTACAGGCTATTGACTTCTATGGAAAGAAATTCTAAACCCGACATGTGTGAACAGGACAAAATCCTCAGCTAATCTTGTCCTGAACCTGATGTAAGACTGATATGAACTGCTGAAACAACTACTGTGTCAATTAGCTGTGACACCCGTGAATCAGCTCTCAAGGAGAAAATATCGAATTGGTCCAAATTCATTGTGAAGAATAGCTGGTTCTCTTCTATTTGAAATTAAAATTTTAGAAGAAGGTTATATTCTTTCTGTTCTGTGCTTTTCCTTTCTATCCTTTTCTATTCTATTTCTATCCTTTTCTATTCTGTTGTATTCTATTCTATTCCTTTATTTTCTATTCTAATCTGTTTTACTGTTTTTTTTCTTTTTCTTCTTCTTTTCTGTTTTTGTTCTGTTCTATTCTTTTCGTAAATTAAAATTTTGGAAGATAACTATATTCATTCTTTTCTATTCTGTTTTTCTATTCTATTCTTTTCTATTATATATAATACATTATTACTCTATTCTATTTTTTATTTAACATTCTATTCAATTCTTTGATATCCTACTCTATTTTGTTCTGTTTTACTCTATTCTTTTCTTTTCTATTCTATTTCTATTTCTATTCTTTTCTAAATTTGAATTTCAGAAGATGACTATACTCTAACACTGATACACCTAGTCTTTGAAGGAAATCAGCAATATTCAGCAATAAGTTTAAATTTCAAATGTGTTTTCGAATTCAATTTAATTGTTGAATTCAATTCAGATTTTAGAGGAAACTTGTTTCGTTATTATTTATTACTATTGAAGTTCCGAAATTCCGATACATCTGAATCTCTGAATAAAACTTTCCTCCGAATTTTGATTATGAAAGAAACAAAATGCACATGTCTAATTTCTTGTAACGAGCCAATCCTTGCAGAATCATTCCACCAGCAATCAACTGTAGCAGCCCTTACAATTATTGCCAGATTCACACTCTCTGACTTTCAGTCTGTGAGTGAATGGGCCAGTAGGCATTTCCCTATTATATGAAAATGGAGCCAAATAATGACTTATCATATTGCAAATAAAGTCATTTTTCATTATGATGAGGTGCCCCCATAAGACTGTCTGCCATGTGATCTTTATATATTGAAAGAACCTTGTGGCCCATTCAAATTTTGACTGGAGGTCCAGAGAGTGTGGGTGGTTCCCACAAGTCATTGTCATTCTGAAACCTCCTGCTATGCTGACTCTCTTGGCTTAATTGCTTTGAGCCACTGACCCCAGACAAGTGTGTAAATAGGGACTTGTGAATTTCTGCTGTCTTTCCTGATCAGTGACTCAGAAGGTATTGAAACCAGGGTGTCAGCATAGCATCCAGACAAATTACATTTTCAGAAAGAGGTCACCAGTGGCAGACCTCATAGTTCTGTTTTTAATGCACAACATACATTAGTACCAAACAGTAGTTTGGAAGTCTGTTTTAATGAAGAAACACCCTTAAAATATATGCAAACTCTAGTAATGACCTTCTCTTCTTTGCTGTGCTTTGGTCTATTAATTATGCAATTTAAAGTATTTTGTTATCTTTTTTATAGCTGCAAAAAAATACCTGTTAATCCTGCTAGAAATTTGGACTGTTATCTCAAGGATTTTAATAAGCACACCCAGTTCTTGGACTACAAAACTATCCCTTCCTATCAGGGCAGGGACAAGGGGTGGACAAGAGAGGCAGCTGCCCAGGGCGCAGTGGGGGAGGGGGCAACCCCTCACCACGTTATTACTAATAATTCTAATATAAAAAAAAAACTATAAAGAAAAAAAGAAAAGAAAAATATAAATAATTCTTATTTGCTGTCTTTTAACTGGTAAATATACCATTAAAAGTATTTTGTTATCTTTTTTTATAGCTGCAAAAAAAAGAAAAAATACCCGTTGATCTTGCTGGAAATTTGAAGCTCTCCTTTTCACCATTCGGTATCGTCTCAAGGAGCTTAATAAGCCTGTTCAAGTTCTTGGAATACAAAAAAATCCCCTTCCTATCAGGGCAGGGACAAGGGGTGGGCAAGAGGGCCAGCTGCCCAGGGCGCAGTGGTGGAGGGGGCAACCCCTCACTGCATTAACCCAAATAATGATCTTCTCTTATTTGCTGTCTTTTTATTGTTAAATATACCATTGAAAGTATTTTGTTATCTTTTTTGATAGTTGCAAAAAAATACCTGTTGATTTTGCTAGAAATTTGGAGCTCTCCTTTTCACCATTCAGTATCATCTCAAGGTACTTAATAGGCCCTCCCAGGTTCTTGGACTACAAAACAATCCCCTTCTATCAGGGCCAGGACAAGGGGTGGGTAAGAGGGCCAGCTGCCCAGGGCACAGTGATGGAGGGGGCAACCCCTCACCGCATGAACCCTAATAATGATCTTCTCTTATTTGCTGTCTTTTAACTGGTAAATATACCATTGAAAGTATTTTGTTACCTTTTTGATAGCTGCAAAAAAATACCTGTTGATCTTGCTAGAAATTTGGAGGTCTCATTTTCATCATTCAGTATCATCTCAAGGTACTTTATAGGCCCTGCCAAGTTCTTGGACTACAAAACAATCCCCTTCTTATCAGGGTCGGGGACAAGGGGTGGGCAAGAGGGACAGCTGCCCAGGGCGCAGTGGTAGAGGGGGCAACCTCTCATTGCACACACACTCCAGAACAGTGGCTGGAAACCAGTCGGCCATAATTTAATGTCTGCTCTAACAGCTGCAGCTGTCACACTGTACTCCAACATGTCCACTTTTAGATTGGTGCAGTCTGTTTTTTTCTCCAGTGTAGGTGGCTCTCAACCGGATCGGTACTGCAGCTGGAGAGGAAGTCAATAGAAACTTTGTTTCTCTATGGTTGCCTCGGTCCCCTGGAGAAGCATTCCATTTGGCTACGCTGCATCCATCTTGGGTCAAGCAGAGTCTTTTTAAGGTGCTGCCCCCAGGTTTTGGTGCGCATTTGCAAAGTCGCTAATGTAAGGAGAGTTCACCAGCCTGCCAGAGACAGCATTAGAGGTAGGGAAAGGTACTGGAGGAGTAGAAAAAGCATAAGACCTACTTCTACACCTACGCAAGTTCCCTTTTGGGTTGGACCAACCACTCTGCATTCCACCTCCCACAGCAGGCACTGCCTTCAGCTCGGGCCTATTACTGCTGGATTGAGTT